AGCCTCTCTCACACACAAACACAGGATAGACACTATCATCAAACACACACCACTCATGTGTCACAAGGAGCACTCATTCCTCCTCACCCCTGACTGAGGCAGGAGCCCGGCCAAACAAACTCATACATGGGCTAAAATTCCCAAAAGGGGATTCAGAGTGGACAGCAGTGACTGAAGAAAAAGGCTAAGCTGTGACTACGGGACTGGCAACTGCTCTGCTAACAGCCTCTTAACAGGTGTGGGTTCTAAAACCACGCAATCCTATCAAGTTACCAAGTTAAAAAAAAAAAAAGGAACGAAATCCACCAAACTGCAAACTCCTGGGCTCTTCCTCTCTCTCCGCTATCTTTCTCCCTCTCTTTCTGTCTTTGTTGGCAGTGAGTGAAATGAACAGCTGGGCTTCAGATTTATCATGTACAGACAGTAATTATTGCTGGTGCTGCCTGCTACTGACCCAAGTGAATTAAATGTCACATGAAAAAACACAAGGCAGAAGGGGGACCTGAAGTTGAGGGGTGATGAGTTGGGAATTGTGTGAAAGATGTGTGTGTGACACAGAAGAGAGAGGAGGCCAGTGTTTAAACGTCACTACGTTTCTGTTTGCAGTCAATTACGGACGAGGACAGGGGTACGGGCACTGGAACTCGGCAGGGTAAACATTTCCTCGCTCGCTGAGAAGGTGACAGAAAAAAGAGGTTCCATGTGTGTTTGTGTTTTTTTTTTCTTTCCTCTAATCAAAAATAAAACCGGAGACAGTACAGCAGGCACTGAATTCCTGTCAAAGAAAAGGTGACAGAGAACTGAAACTGAGAAATGTGCTCAATGCCAAAAAAAAGTATTAAAGTGACAAGACAGATTTGTATCGATACTCTTCTCATCTGTCAAGTTTTTAGCTTATGTGTATGATTAACTCAACACTTACTGATGAATAAAAAACAAGGAGAAGCCCCTGATCATACAAGTGCTTTCGTTTTTATCTCAGCACAGTATGACCCCACCTGCTTTGTTTGTTCAAGACACAGAAAGGTCAGGAGATAAGCTATCAATTTATTACCCATGTCAGTCAACGTCCTTTTCATTGAATAGTTAACCCTGCATCCGCTGCTTACATTTACACATTTAGCTGTATGAAAGTTGTGGTTTGTCACATTCCATAACCCACAGGGGCAGCTTCACACCTTAACCCCCCCCCGCCACATTTAAAAGGATTAGTCACAACATTTTGTGCCGGCATAATCTCTCTTTCAGCTGGCCTAATAAGTGCGCTTCGATAAGCGGGGCATGCAAATTCATTCATGGCCAGCGGAGACCATGCTTTCAGCCAAACGCACCAAAGTCTTCCACTCTACTAATTACCTCTTCATTTCCCCCTTTTTCCCTCTTATATGGCATATCGACAACCAGAGATTATTCTTCTTCCTTACTTTGCATGAAATTATAATTTCATATGTAAGATTAGGATATCCAATCGGGAAAAACAAAGTTACTGAAGCTTCTCTCTTGAATCTGCGTGCAGGAATACATGACAAGGCACAGTCAGCTGTGAGATTAAAAGGAGGATGTCTTTTACACTGAGACACATGACAAAGAAATATTGAAAAAAAAGACACTTTTTCCTGAAAAATATTTCATAATAAAACATTTTTCTAATTAAGAATATATAATTAACTGATATTCTAAAGGATATTTTACCGTTTCCATTTCCCTTATTTTTAGTACTGCAGTTTAACAAACATATATTATCTGTGATAATAAAAAGTTGGCCTGTTATATTTTAGATAATAAAGGCAACGACGACCCAGAGTCCAACCTGTTTATCATTCTGGAATATTTCTTCACTGAGTATTAATTAGGCTATTACTCCAGATTGGTGACGGGGAGCTTTGAGGTTTTAATTAGGTGCTGGCCACTGCATGAGTGCACAGGAGTGAAGAAAGTGGGTGGTGATGCCACTTGCCTTGCTCCTGGCCCATATCAAGTATCCCTGAACACTTTGGCTCCTGCAGCAAGATGCATGGCAGCCCACGCGCATCTGGAGTTTATTTGATCGTTTGATCTCTGATGTTTCCTCTTTCTGCCGGTGGAAAAAAGGCCAGTTGGTGTGATTTGAGTATTAAAAGATGGGGGTTAAGGTAATTATGGTGTTGGGTGGCTTGTGTCTGATGGCTGGGCACATGCTCAATCAGGACTCAGCTGTCCCTTTTCTCTGTCTACCCCGCAGTGTGTGTGTGTGCATGCATGCGTGCGCGCGCACACGCACACACACACACACACACACACACACACACACCTCTGTCCCCTTGTCTGTGTTCCCCCATCTCTCCCCCTGCCACTCTGCGAAAACCAGGCGTAACACACACAGCCTCGTGGAACATCAATCAAATACTGAGTGGCCCATAAAACTCCACAAACATATATGCTGCCATTAACTACTGTGTGCCACTTTTTAAAATCACTGTTGTCTGATATTAATGCAAAATAACAAAACTACATTTAAAGATTTTTAAAAAAGAATTAATTAAGACAGGAAAATTAAAAGAATCCTTTGGTGAAGTACTGATTTAAATATAAATTTAAGTTTTGAAATAAAATGTCAGTTTCACATTTAAAAAAAAAAACAAGCAATATAAAAATGACATTTTTTTTCTTAATTCAAACTCAGAGATTACATTGTGCAAATATCTTCAACTGCAAAGTCAAATATATAAATGACAACAAAAAGCATATTCTGCTATCATGCAAACAAGATATTTAAAAAAATAAATCTTGAGAATGTGAGTGTTTTTCCTCGGTTGACAAGGCGATACTAATCACCTCGTTGCTGAGAAGCACTCTTCCCTGACAAGGCTCCTTGGAATACAAGGATCCCCCTGGAGAAATCGGCATGAAAGAGGTTAAAGACAATGACTCACTTTTTTTTTTTCCTCCACATGTCTCGCTGTTAAATTTATTTGAAAACTCTGTTAATCTGCTGTACACAACATTTCCATTAACATAGTCCAGCCCCCTAATAAAAATTCCAGCTAGTTTAATTAAAAAATGTAAATTTACTGTCATCCGAGGAGCAGCAGAAATAGGAGTGCAACAGCATATTTTATTGCTTAAGACATCAAATTGATTCAGGTTATTGCTAAATTGTGATAAAAGGTTATTGAGGGCCTTCAGACCTAGGTTTGTTTTTCTCCTACTTATTTCATCCTGGTTGCGTGGAAGGCCGTAAAAAGATGGAGAGGGCCACGAAGGGTTAATGAGACAACTCGGTGAGGGAGAAGGCAATCAACATTATGACTCATAAGAGGGTAGAAAAACATTTTCTGAGCTGACGAAAAGTTTGAAATTAGGGTGTGTCACCGCAACAGCTCTACTTGTTTGTTATTATTTTAAACTATAATACAGGACACCTTAAATAACCAGACAAGTAACCGAGCCCTCATGTCTCATGCCTCTCATATGTGTTTGTGAAACCCTGTGGCCACAGTGGTCTACTACACTGTCTCTCACTATCAGTTTTATTTCATGGGAAATCTTTAGATTTGTTTTATTTTTCATTAATACTGCCAAAGAGCAGAGAAGCCTATATGATATCAAGAGTGCTGAACGGCAAGACTAGACAGCAAGACAGAGCAAATAACTGTTAAGGGGATTCAGAGAGGATACAGAGGCAGTTTGTAAGTGGGGGAAAAAGGTATTAAAAATAACAGCCTTGTTTGAATCACAAATGTACATTAGAGATTACATTTTCCAATAATAATAATAATAATTCTGTTAATTTGAGCATCCTTTCTGTAATTTAAAATATTCTGATACTATTTTAAAAATATTTATATACTTAGTGAGATTAAAATAAAGTGTTTCAAAAATAGGGCAGATAGGATTTATCAGAGCTAAAAAGAATCCATCAAAGTTAGCTTAGTCACTGAGTTGTTATATTCATGTATAGGGGCAAATAATGAATCACAGGGATTATAAATACATAGTGTAATGTACAAAGGGAACACACCGGTCAGTGCATGCAAACAGAAAATGCGTACATACAGTACACCCAAAACAGAAAGAAAGAAATGACTGCGGAATATAGTTTATTTTAAAATGAGCACCAAACCGTTCTTCGAAGTAAAGTGATGAAGACAGTGGTCCTTGTAAGTATGAGGTGTGATCCAGCTACATCTGGACAAGTTTATCCTCCCATAAGTACGCGCAGAGTGATTGTTGTTAATCTGACAGTTACAGGTCTACTACAGTTTTAAATAATCAGCCCCACAGGTTTATTTGCACAAAAATTCCAATAACTGACAACAATTTTAATAAATATTTGGAATAATTTTATATATAATGCATTTGATTGTCAGAATTTTTATACTATAAGATGACATACACCTGCGCACTGCATATACACTAATTAGAAGTACCTGGAGAGGTGCTAGCACTGCTCCTGTTCCCTTTACATGTGTGACAACATAAGCAACACAACAGTTTGTTTGCTTTGTCCCCTTGGCAACAAACCCTAAGGCCATTCAGAGAACCCTAATGGCATTGCCAGTGCCGCTGTGGCTTTAACCAATACTTGTATTTCTACAGTACCAAACGGTGGCTTTTTCAAAAACTTGTAATTAAATGAAGGGACTATAGAAGCTAAAAAACAGGAATATAGAAAAAAAATCCTCACAAGGATTTCTGCTGGTCTCATGTCCTAGAAGAGAAATAGACTCTGACAAGAGAAAATGAAACTGGCTTTGTGAACTTTCTTCACATGTAACACAGCGTCATGAGTCGTGTGCTGGAGAAATGGGTAATCATATTTGATATTGCAGTCACCTTTGGGCTCTGTCAAAGAGCTATAAATAAGGGTACTGCAACATTTTGGTATATATACGTGCTAGTACATACTTTGATCATGAACAACTTCCACTCTGTATATTTATTCAGAGATAAAGGCACACCTTAAACTGTCAGCTAATAAAACATATCTGACAAAGATAGAAAAGAAGAAGAGTACTCACCATATTCAGGGAAGTCGAAGTTAAATCCTCTCAGACATGTAACTTTCATAATATTACTCAACTCTGCTAGAAAGTCATTCGCCTGTTGGGTGGTAGAGAGGGAAATACGGCGGAAAAGTAACTAGATTTAAAAAAAAAAAGGCTTCCTTCAATCATGCACTAAACTCCTTGACATGTAATCTGTCAATAGTTTGTTGCTGAGATAATGCCGGCTGCCACGAGCGGATTTGATTGGCAGCTTAGAGCCTGGCCCCTCCTTTCTGTGGTTTGACGGGGGTAGGTGAAAGAATATGGAGCCTCCCCCTTCGCTGCTCTCTCTCTCTCTCTCTCTCTCTCTGCCTCTAGTGCGCTGCCTCTCTCTCGCTCTCTGCTTTGCTCCCATACACACACGCACAGAAGCACAGACCAAGCTGTTGGTGATGTTGTCTGAATAAGCTGATAGGAAATTATGGCAGAGGAACCGGAGCAGTTTTTTTCTCCCTCCCTCAGTGGGCTGGCCTTTTCCATCTTTGTGGTCTTCTAGCCTTTCAACTCTCTTGGGGTGGAGCCTCCACTCTATTCAAATGAGGGGAGCACAACACTTTAAAAAAAAAAAAGGTTTGGGGGAGGAAAAGATTACACATTTATTAAAATATATAAGAATTTCATAGCAAGACCAATTATTTGAATGAAATACAGTGGGACTTCCTGTTTTTACGTGCTTTATAAACACCAACATTTTAGTACTGTCCTATATAAAGCACAACTACAGAAAGTGAAAGGATATTTTGACATTCATGTAAGTAAGTCACCCAACTACTAATCCATCAACTACATATCAAACTGGACACAATTTACATGCTTGCCATCAACCAAGAGTTGCAAAAATATTAAAGCCAGCCAGTCCAACATTTAGCTTGAAGCAAACGACTCTTTCACTTCTCTCACAAAACAGAGATCCTCTCTATTTCATTGCCGTGTAGTATAGTTTCTTTGCCTCTCTCCCTCGGAGCGCACTCTTTCTCCTTTCCTCCCTCTGATAAGCTATCAGTTTTCATTGTAATTTCAGGTGAAATGATAAACGACAGCCGTTACCAGGTGACAATGAATACTTTATAAGACAAACCCCTTATTTGCCTGGCAGTTTCTTCCACAGCGGCATGCAAAGTGTCTCCGGACCATTTGTACATAATGCCCATATACTGTAAATATGGATCTGTGTCAAAAATGGGGAATTTACAACGTGACACAAAATAAGAGTCAAATCTTTGAAAGGTCACTGGATATTCCTGTTTTTCTCAGCAGTTTTATTTTGAATAAGGGTTGTGTTAAAGTAGCATTTAATGGTTAGAGAAAAGAGGAAATGAACAACTTTATGGCTGTGAACCATAATGCAATGATAAACAGTCCTGAGTTCATGAGTGCTGGTGCAGAGTCCAAAGTATGTGCATAAAACAGTTTTTGGTTGATTCTGAATTTATGATGACTCATCCTAGTTAATAATGGAAAACAGCAGCTTTGTCTCCTCCTCCTTAACACACAAAAGAAAATGTCTTTAAAAGAGTTTCTATCACGAGGTTCCACCCTTGATCTAACATTGTACTGTAAATACTACTTCAGTTTTTGTAAGCCATGATAAAAATCCAATTGTTTTTGTGATACATGACCTGACTTTGTAACCAGACTTTATTCCTAGTTGAAAAAGGTGTGGAATCTTGTGTAAAAAAAAAAACTGGGGGCTCCAATCACATATTGTTTGGTGGAATCATGACAACTTTGGACTAAATACTTCCTCACCATAGTTGGAGCATGCTTATAAACATGTTATCTACTGTAATATTGTGCAAAGGGCCTGACACATTGTCAGTAAAGTGAACTGAGATTACCGGAATTACTACATTTGTTTATGGGGCGATCTCTAGTGAACATCTTACTAGACTACAGTATCATGAGGCAATGTGTGGAGATTATTTGAACTTTGTGTGAAAACATCATAAATAAATAATTCCTAGCTTTAAATCTAAAATATGCTTTAAAATATGAAAATGTCTGCCTGGCTATGACCGTGATGCTTTTTCCACAAAGGACAACAAAAACTACTACAGTATCTCTAAACTTGATATTGAGGGATGTTTCGTTTGCAGGGTGAATTCTATTCATGTTACATCGTCCAAAGGAGGGAGGGGTTGTCATCCATGCATTATAGCCCTCTGGCCCTCGAGCTGCCATCTTTGGGGGCGAAACCATTACTTTTCAAAAGGAGCTGTGGGGCTTTTCGTTTGATGTGGTCCAAGGGTATTGTATGGTGCATGCGGGAGAATGTTGAGGGCAAGGTGGAGTGTTTATATGTGCGAGTGTGTGCGCGTACTGCCGTGCGTGTGACATGGCAGGGGTACATCAGTCAAAGGGCTGCCGGGCCAGACGTTTGGCTGCCCCTGACAGTGCACTCCAGGAGGGGCTGGTCTGGTGCAGGGCCCGCTCTGAGTCCTCCATTTCTCAGGACAAAGGCTAGGGCCCAGTTGAAAGATGTGAATTCAGTGGCTTTTGTGGCCAAAGCTTAGAGACATGCCGAGTGAGAAATCTGACCTTTGCCGAGAGTCAGATTGTGTTTTTGAACCCCTCTTGCTGTCTCTGGCAGTTCAGGGCAAAGAGTGAGTGAGCACATTGGAGGAGATGAAGTGGATGCGAGTTGGCGTGGGGTGGAGGCCTGTCCTATATGATGGAGTGTACAGTTGGGGGGGGGGAGTTACACAGGAGGAGCAGCTTGGAGCACTTCTACTGCATCTAACTTTAAACCCAATAAGTTAAAATAGTTTGAGTTTTTCAGCAGAAGACGGATCAACTTTATTCTTGATATTCACTGTCATGTTGTTGATAAATTGACAGGAAATTGAACGTGTAAACGCTTAATTCCGAAGCAGGAGCTTTTAAAGTGGGATTCAACAGGAGTTCACACTAGTGTTATTTGAGGTTGTCTGTGATGTGGAATATTATTCTCTCTCACGTCTGTTTGTATTATATTACTGTTTATATATTTATTTTTAAACAGAGAAGGAGATGAATATTAAACGTACACACAACTATAGCCAGAACAATGATGTCGGCAATGCACCACTTCTTGATCATCATCATTTGCATTACCCATGACAATGATTCTTCAGAATCTTACTTGAGTTTCATAATTTCTGTACAGCTGTATATACAGCTACATACATACACTAAGAAAGTCTCATGCAAAATCACATTATTAGTGCACACTTGAAAGCAATTAACCTAGAGCCTGTATGAGGCATATTTGTATGTCAACATGCTGCAGTATCTTTCTTTTATTTGTGCACTGTTTATGATATTACTTGAATTATGATATACAGTAGCATGTTGCTCGGTGGCGGTGTGCTGAGAGCAGAGATTCTGTAGATAGAATAGGCCTATGTTTTTGAGTCATACATTTTTCTTGACACTGCTTTCATCCCCCGGCCGTAATCATCATATCTCCCCCATTGCTCTCCCGGATGCAGACATCCATAATGCAATCTTCCTAATTTTGATCCCTCGCAATCTGGTTTTTAAAAGGGAGGGGAAAAAAGGGACATATTTCTGAAGGCTCACTCTGTAATCATTTTAGACAGATAGCCTTTCCCATCGTAGATGAGCAAATATTTGTAAACCAGCTATCTAATGGAAAATTATAGAGAAATTAGAGTGAAATTCATGACAGTGAAATCTGATTATCTGTAATTCTATTATGCCATCTTAGCCCACACAGCATATTTTTGTAGAGTTTTTTCCATAAATACCTATGCCAGGGGTCCTGCTAATCAAATAAAATTGAAATTCATCTTCCCATTAAATTCAATTAGCTGCAATTTCTAAAGCCTAACAAAGATTTTAATTACTAAATTATAAAATTCTCCCTAGCCAAATTGGGGAGAGAAAAAGTACATCCCCTGCATCTGAAAAACAAACCCATGAAAGGAAATTGTTGATCAAAAAAGATATCCAGGGGAAAATAACATTAGGGAGAGCACTGGGGCCCTTATTCAGCGAGTCTGGGTGGGGAGTGACGTGTGCCAAGCACTGGGCTCCTGGGCCGGAGGAAATGAACTTAGCTGAGGTTCTCTCTGTCTCTAAATGTCTGCCCTCAGAGTTATTATGCCGTAATTGACTAATTGACACCTTAATTTCATTTATGGGGCTCCTGTGTTCATAAAGCAACCTCTGGGTGGGGCAGTGGTCTTGGGTGGAAGCAAGGAAGTCAACATCCAGGACACCAGGTAGAGCGCCTTGGGCCTTCGGCTTTGTCCTCAACAGATGATGATTATGAATTTGATAATGAAATGGTCAGGGCGACCATACTGACTTAGCAAAGGCTTAAGGAGCATCTTACTTCTATGTTCAAATCCTCCTTGTGCATGCTAATGGGTAATAATCATGCATGTCCAGTCTCACAAGCTGTCACTGCAGAAACAAATGACCGCACATTCAGGGTCACAGGACATTATAAAGGGAAGATTCTTGAACCTGCCAAATTGGGATTCACAGTGGTTTTGGCTTCACATGTGACCATGGATGCGTATTGTATTGTTGTTGATTGTTTCATCTGATATGTGGGTGTAGCTGAAAAAAGCAGTTACTGATGGCAGCATTTAGTGGAGAGCACACTGCTAATAGTACAGCGTCGGGGTCTCAGGTCAGTCACTAGAGCCGTTTCCCAGCCACCGCCTCCTCCTAACCAGTGGACCACTAAAATAACAGCTCAGCACCCTCTGCACACTACAAAGCTCCATCTGAAAAGGCACCTGCTGCTGTTATTCACTTCAGCCCCTTTGGCAGCTCACTCTGTCTGTTTAAAGGACACATAGGAGAGAAAGACTGACTGGGAAATGATGAATTATTTAAGCATGATGTCTAATTGTTTCAAGGCAGACATCTTGTTTCTTGAAGGTAAAGGCTTGGGGGTGGGTGCTGGTGTACATGTATGGAGAGGACTCCTTGTGAAGAGGTCTGTCTACTGTGCAATGTAGGCAGTCTTGTACTTAAAGTGGCTGGGTAAATATGACCAAACTGAAACTTTAATCTGCTTTTCCACACCCAAGCTGGCTGGGTATTAAAGATAATCTTTTTTGTGTGTCATATGGTGGGAGATATAGATGGAGCTAATTTTTTAGAGACAAATCTGATATTTGTCAACTGGTTGAAAAAAA